TTTCTTCTAGCGTTGACCGGAAGGCATTCCAATCTCCTTTCCGAGTTCTGTAACCCTTATTTGTACCGTGGGAACTTACCATGTTTTGTACCATTGAAAATACTATAGCATGGTGGTCGGGACTCGTCTCAGATCTAAGGGTCCAATCGATAAGGCGATTTGACAACGCAGGCGAAGCCATCGTGACATCTATCCAACTCTGCCCTCTTCCTCCTGAGACGGTAGGTGTGGCAGAAGGATCGTTTAGTACTAAAAGCTGGCTTCTCGCGATAAGATTGGATCCCCAGACCGTGTTCCAGGAATTTATATCTGAGCATATAATGACGTTTCTTGTGCAAGCTGTGATCGTCTCCATGGCGGATATACCTTCTTCAACATCACTTCCATCAGGTAGGTACGAGGAGACCAGCGTAAAAGCTACACTTCCCCACCTGATGTAACATGCAACGCAATCCGCCGTAGTATGTTGCCTCAGATCCATCACATCGAGGTTTGGGTTATTAACCACGATAGCAGCCCTGGGCCTCCTCTCTCCACTGCTCAGGGCTATAACCCTCGATGTGAGGCCAAATCCTGTGACCATGTTCCCACGGCATGTCGGTTCCTGAACCGCCATGATATCGTATCGGTCAGAATGGGCTCGGAGTTCGTCTGATACGCCGGCGGCCCATGTTTAATTGCAGAATGTTTATTTTACTCATAATAGGTCTTTTTCACTACTTCATCGGCCCACTTTAAGTGTACTTGGCAGTCCCGACTGCCCGCCTTGTGATTCCTTTGGTTGGGAGATGCATTCGCTCGCACGCAGTTAATACACGTTGGACCTGTTGTTTTTTGTTTGGACAGTCCTTCAGTATATGTCCGCTTGCTGCACACCAGATGCAGACGACATTGTCAGCTTGGCAAGTGGCCTTTGTGTGGCCATAGCCCTGACATTTAGAGCAACGCGGGGCGTCAATGTAATCCCTGAAGGTCATCGACCACCATCTTCCATCCAAGTTTCCTACTTCTAGTAGCGCAAATCTGACCATTGGGTGGACTTCCAGGACCCAATTCTTGGAGAAGCCGTTCCTAGCGACTGTAGAGAACAGTGGATCTTCAAGAACTAGTGGTGTGGGCCCCGACGTATCGGGAATTTTTTCCCATAAAAATTCCACGAGTTGTATTGAAGTCCAGGCATGAGACACGCCCCGGATCTCTAATTTAGGCTTCTTCTTCAGAGCAAACCTGGCTTGTAGACCTCTATCACGTAGCCCTTGGCATCCTATAACTTTGGTAGCATCTTTACCATCATCCATACGCACCAAGATGGAGCCTCCCTTAGTTTTACGTACAATTGAGGCCTTCACTCCAATTTCTTCTGGTGATGGTAGCCCATTAATGATATCTGCCGTGGTTTTACCAGGGCCACTGATAGTGACATATGTTGACCGGGGCGTTTGTGTAGGCTTTGATGGCAAGGATTTAACTATGGAAGCAATACATTTTGCCTTTACTTCTTCCTTCTCTCATTGCAGTTTTTCTTTTGAGTCAAAACAGTTGATTTGACTCTCTCGTATCATTTTTTCCTTGGCATTTTTAGTCTTCCTCCGTTTCCTTTTATTTAAGACCAACCGAAAGGGTTCGATGGTAGCTGAAGGTTCAGCCGGATTCATATCTACACCAACCTGTTCTAGGGCCTTAGAAGTCCCAGCCTGTGGTTGATGACTATTCGTTCCAGAGTATGGCTGATTCCTAGAAGTACCAACCTGAGGACGACATGATACCACACCAGGCTGCTCAGTAACTTTGGGCAAGGAGCTATCAGCTATTATTCGAGTTAGTACTTCGTGGACCTTCTGAGATGAAAGTGCTTCAGTAACTGCTCTCTGAACAATGGCTGATACACCGCCTTGGTCCTTATCCCTTTCTAGTGTTTCAATCATATCAACAAGAGATTGAATCTCATTGTTGATATGATCTCGAACACTGGCACTATTTTTTTCCGCAATTTTATCTAAGGATACGTTAATACTTTCCTGAATTTTTTTGGCACTGTGAAAGTTGCTGTTATTTATAGCCGCATCCACTGTATCTAAATTATCTGAAGAAACCTTTCGAGCTCTTTTAACTAATGGCCTGGAAGGCTTACCATCCTCTTGCCGTATCATCACAATACTTTCTGTGGAAAGGTCCATGTTTGTTAGCACAGCAATAGTTACTATATTGCTATCAGATGGAGAGTTTATATGATACTTTATCACTAACCTATAACCTTTCACATTAACAATTGAAAAAATTGAAAATTGAAAAATAACTGTTCCCGCAATATCGTTCACTTTACACTTTACTTCTCAAGTATTTTAAGCAAGAGATTGTCTTAAGCTAGCTTGAGGTATGGGAGGAAGAAGAAAACAATAAATGAGTAAACAATGATAAGGTGTTTATACTTACCAAGTTCACTTTACAAGTATTGTCCCGCCAATTTTACTTGGCCTTTCTTCCTAATTGTCTTTCTCAGTTCTCAGTTAAAATAGTTCACCAAGAAACACCTCTCAAGGTAGTAAAAACTTACCTTCCACTCCTAACCTCACAATTTACAAGTCAATGTTAATAAAAATAAACAAAAACACAAAACACTAAACAAACGCTTATTGACTAGAAAATGAACTAAAGTACTGTGAACAAGAAATAAACGACATAACTAAGTATAAAACAAGAATATTAATCAAAAACACAATCAGTAAATAATATGCGACCTATCGCTCTCACTTACACCATATGATAGGTCAATATTATGGAATCGCCTTTACTAACCGTTACTCTCAAGAGTAAGCACACATCGATTTGTCCAACGCTCCATGAAGAGCTAACCAAATTCCGACCTAAGACACGGCGAGGGAAATTAACTGTCGATCGAGGACAAGGGCAAAGAGAGCTCCGTTAACTTTTACTAAAACGGAAACAGCTGATTGTGTTTACTATGCGAGCCGCGAGAGTCCATTCCGGCCCAAGAGGTAGCGGTAGAGGCGCGATGTGGCCAATTGAATTTTAATATACAACAAGTAGGAATATATTAAATATATTTGTATATTTAAACATACATGTCCAATATTACTTGTTATAAATTAGGAGTCTCCAAAGTAGAGCTCACGGCAACACTGTGCCCGCCCATGCCATGCCAAAACAGCAGACAGCTTTGTAAGACAAAACCTTGTAGTATATTCCGTTTCACCCCACTTCAACAACGGTTGCTTGCTGTGTATATAGAGGTGGAGATATGACTGAAGGGACTCATGAATTGATTGCTTCATAAGATTCGTCTTTGAGATCTCCATGTTTCCTGCTTATATACCAAGTTGAAGTGGCTCTGTCCTACTTCCCGAAGGAAATTCCTTTTGCAAAAATCTTCCCTACATCCTAGAAATCCTATATCTCCTCCCATGAAACCACGTAGCAAATCCTTCGTCATTCTTGCTACCTCCTTTTCTCACAATCTACTTTATAAAGTTTCAATAGATGATGATGAGAGTTTATTCCCTCTAATCGATTATACTTCCAACATGTAGAAAGGAGCCAAGAGTAAGCTAGTTAAATAAAAAAAAATTACTGAATAAAATAACTATATCTAGCACTTTATAGACATTACATTTTGCAATTCGGTTTATATATACAGTCCTGCATCACCTATACGTCTATTTAAACATGTCTATATATACACACTGCATCACCTATTTCTTTTGATTCTTATGTTGATAAGGTTGATTCCATTTGAATGTTTTTATTTTTATTTCCTTATTAAGATTGAAAGGAAATTTTAACAATATTTCTCAGTTCAATTTTAATTAATGTCACGATAAAAACTATAATTATGACCTGTATCAAAAAACTGTCCTCGTCAGAAAACATTAAAGTTGTGAAGTTGCACGAAGTTAAGAAATTTTCAAGGGGAATAGTAGCGAGGATAGAGTACCATCAATCAATGATAGTCATAGGTTTGAAAACAAAGGCACCACGAAGAGGAAAAAAAGAAATGTGAGGAGAAAAAAATCATGAGAACAATGTGACTGCTTATTGGTGCGATTGTTTTTAGAATATCATTTCAAAACTGGCGAAGAAATATCCGAAGATCTTGCAGATAGCAATCTAGTAAATAAAATAAAATTTACAATGATGTAGAGATGGTTGACCGTGATATAATATGAGAAGGAGTAGATCGGGGGGTGCGGTCAAATAAATACTAAATTATACAAATAATATTATTTATTTTTTGCCGACGTTTCGACCCACTTTGCAGGTCTTCATCATGGCTACAAAAGATACAAAACGTGGTGAAAATAAAATAAATGAATATAAGTAGATATAAAATAAGAAGAAGTTGTGTGATAAAGAAATAAAAATAATATATCAGAGATTAGTGTGTGGCAATATAGTTAAAATATCAAGTATTATATATATAGAAGATACAAACAAAAATGGAAAATAAGTATGAATAAAAATAGAAAACAAAGGAGAATATAGCATGAAGTTAAAAGTGAACAGATTGCGATAAAAGATAAGGAATGAGTGTATAACAGGCTTATTAAGAATACATATGATAACATCAGGTTAACAGATAAAGAAAATGAATGTTAACGAATAAGGAGATTGAAAATTGAGTAAGTATTGATATAGTAAAGCTAAAATAAGAATAAGATAACATAATAATAAGATATCAGTGGATAACAAGCTAGTGGAGGTTACATTTGATAACTGTAGGTGAACAGATAACGGGACTAGAGGTTAAGAAATAAAGAAATTTGAAGATTAATGAGATACCATTAGTTGTAATATCGTTAGGATAGATTATTAAGTATAAATAACTCTATAAGAAAAAAATTAAGAAAAGAAATTTAGAATGTAAATATAAATGTAAAACAAGGTAATCAAAATAAAATTTAATATACTTTTTACTGGCTGGTGAAATTTCTATGACTGCGACTATATATAGTATGATTTTTCATACTAAGCATGTTTTTTAGGGAGCGTACTCGGATATGAGCAGTTATAACCTGCTCAACAAAGCCTCGTTAGAAGATCTGCAGGAACGGCTGGGCCCGAACAATAAGGTGAGCTCGGACAACTTCCGAGCCAACATCATCATTCATCAGGCTCCACCCTTCGCCGAAGACAACTGGGTGAAGATGAAGATCGGAAAAGTCATCTTCAGGATCGTTAAGCCCTGCGTCAGGTTGGTTCCCTTTCTCTACAGGTCAGGCGTTTGATGGCGTTTAAACTTTAACATTCTCGAGTCCACCGAATCCACCATGTTCTGTTATTATTATTAAAGACTATTGGTAAATAATCTTCCTGTATTATTTCAGATGTATGATGGTCACTATCAATCCGTCTACTTTGGTAGAACACCCCGATTCGGAACCTCTAACAACATTAAAAACGTAAGTTACCAACAATTTTTATAAGTATTCTTGATCTTTACTAAATTTTTTTTCTTTTTCTCACCCCTTGCTTTTAGGTCAAATTGAAGAAGACAAACACTTGTAATTTATGATGTTTTTATTTTTATTTGTACGTTTCGGGGATACTTCGTACTCGTTTTCAAAATCTGGCCCCCCCATTATTATTCATAACAAAACTACGTCGTCATCCCATCAATTAATACGAAATGTTTCTCGAGGGTTCGATATATTAGCGACCTTCCTGATTCTATTCACCATTCTGGTTATCAGTTGCATAGAGATGATCTATAAATTTATCTATCGCTCCAGCATTCTAGAAGCCTGAGGCAACTCAAAAAACTACCAGAGGATATTGACTGTACCTGCAGTTGGGTAGAAATAAAGGAACTGAAGGTGAACGCAGATAAAACTAAGGCTAACATGATCGGTTCCAAGCACCTGGTTAGTTCCCTTGCTTACTTTCCTCTGCTTTTCCTCAATAACCGTCCCTTCCATTTCCTCCTTGAAATAACTTAACCCTTTTTATTTTTAGTTAAATGAAATAAAAGAGAGGAGGTGGGGTAGCTCAATGGTAGAGCACTGAACTTGCAATGCTCCATGTCCCAGGTTCAAATCCCGCCTCAAGGCAGAAAAATTATTTATTCTGTTTCATCGACCGTGGGTCGACCCTGGGGTACGGAGACCCTCCTGGGACACACCCAGCCTCTACAAAGTACCCTTAATTAAAATAATTAATAAAACCTGGTGGTTGAGCGTGATCCTGGCCCGATCTCCTCCCTGTGCAACCATTGGCCTTGAAACAGTACTTTCCCTAAATAGCACTGAACCCAAGAAAGTTATTTACTTATTTTTTGTCGTTTTTAAAATAACTGATTCAGTTATGTTATATACAAAGAACAGATCTTTATTAATAATATAAATTATATAATTCCGTGTTGAACACTCATTAAAATAACTATAAAAGAAGTACCAAGTAGCACAGGCGAATTTATGGAGGGAGGAGCTTTCGGGCAGAAGCCCCATCCCCCAAAATAGTAAAATATAAACACTATCGGATCCAGGAATTAATTTTGAGGGCTTCAGCCCGGAAGCTTTTTTTTTTCATATATATATAACGATAATTTCTTTGTAAAAACAGAATGATTCTAACTATCAATATGAAATGGTATTCAAGTGATTCTTGAAGTCATATTAACTGTAATTAACCGAGCAACAGTACTTTAAGACATAATTTTTTACTATAAAACATGGTTATATTTGACCATTTTGGGGAGATTTCAGCCCTAAAGTCCCCCTCCCCCTCCGTAAACCCACCTGTGAATATAAGCATGTTTTATGAAAAAAAAAAATCTCTAAAAGTATTATTGTTCACGAATCATTAACACGATTATTGATCACGAATTGTTAAAGAATCACTTAAACACCTTTTCATGTTGGTAATTAGTTTCTTTCTTACGAAGAAATTATTCTAATATAAATTTTGGAATTCCATCCCACCTAAAATCCGCCAATGACCATCCCTATCCATCCATCTTTAAAACCCTCTTATTCCAAATCCTTCTTACAATTCAATCAGACGTTGGTTAACCATTTATCATGTAACAAAATTGTATTTTTCTCTACGTATCATTCGTATCTAAATATATATATATTTTTGAGTATGGAAAAGAGGTCCAGTTACGTTCGCTAAGAATTGTTTTTATGGTCAGTTTCTCAATGTATAAGATTCTAAGTCTTTGAACTGTGTTAAATTGATTACTAATATTGAAAACACGTCTCTCTATATGTGTATCATCTTTTATTTTCTCCGATCAATCTATAGCTTAGGATATAGATTATATAACACTTTTATAATATTTACAATACTATTATTGTATTCATTTGAACACATTAAGGTACAGATGTAAGTCATTTATAGTAAATATTTATTTGCTCTTTTATTATTATTTTTTTCATTAATGGTATGACAACACAAGTAATGAATCGTTCATTTCAAATTTCATTTAGTATTCCATGGTTTATTGTTCGTAACAACTATTTTGCAGTATTAGGGCCTTATTGCTCATATTATTTCTTTAATATATCTGTATCTCAACATCCTATAGACCAATTAGCCTACTCCCAATCCTTTCAAAAATTTTTGAAAAGATCCTTTTGAAACGAATCCTACCCATTATAGAATCCCAAAATATTCCTTCCCATCAGTTTGGTTTTCGCTCCCAACATTCTACTGTTCAACAAGGACTCCGAGTTGTTGATCATATTTCCTCAGCCCTAGAAAACAAGGAATACTGTTCGGGTGCCTTTCTGGACATTGCACAGGCATTTGACCGGGTATGGCACTCCGGACTGCTCTTCAAGCTTAAAATCCATTTACCTCAGTCCTTATACCTAGTCCTTCGATCCTACCTCTCTGACCGCTCCTTCCGAGTTCGCTGTGGAACAGAATTTTCCAATATCTACTCCGTTAAAGCCGGTGTTCCCCAAGGCAGCGTCTTGGGTCCCGTGCTTTACATCCTCTTTACTGCTGACATCCCTGTTCATCCCGATACTTTTCTTGCAACATTCGCTGACGACACCGCAATCTTATCATCCAACGCTGATCCCAACATAGCATCCTTAAATCTCCAAAACCACCTCACCTTGATTGAGCACTGGTGTAATAACTGGCGCATTAAAGTTAATGAATCTAAATGCCAACATATTACCTTCACACTCCGACGCAGTTCCTGTCCACCAGTACACTTTAATTCCATCCAGCTTCCTTACTCAGACACAGTCCGGTATCTTGGTTTTCATTTAGACCGAAGACTAACGTGGAACCCACATACTAGACTCAAAAGACAAGAACTCAACCGACGATACGGCCAGCTATACAGACTACTAAACAGAAAATCCAAACTTTCTATTGAAAACAAATTACTTATCTACAAGACAATACTGAAACCTATATGGACATACGGACTTGAACTGTGGGGGACAGCAAAAGCTTCTAACATCAAACGTATTCAATCCTTTCAATCTAAAGTCCTTCGAACAATAGTTGATGCTCCGTTCTATGTAAATAACAAAATCCTACACCATGACCTTAATATCCCATTTGTCCTAGACCTTATTCCAGAAAAATTCTCCAAATTTCACCGGAACCTTACCTATCATCCAAATCCCCTTGCACAATCTCTATCCAGCACCACCCATCCTTACAATCCTCCTCGAAGGTTGAAGCGGCAGTGGCCCAGAGACCTTCTGTAAATAAGCATCTATTGGAGTTTTGGCAATGGCCAGATCCTCCACTCAAGCCCGAGTGTGTATGATTAGGTTAGTTCTTTTGTTTATATACATTTATTTTATTTTATTGTATTTATTTTTATTTTATTTTATTGTATTTATTTTTATTTTATTTTATTTTATTGTATTTATTTTAATTTTATTTTATTGTATTTATTATTATTAAGTTTCTGTATTATTATTATTTTATTTATTTATTGTAAATAGAGTGTGAGTGTGTTCTCTGAACACTATTACAAATGTCCTTGATGTGACAGAATGTGATATTTCTAAATAAACAAATATATAGGAATATATCTGTATAGTTATGTAAATACTTCTGTTATTACTTAGTTTTTGTTATTTTTTTTTATTGCAATATGTATTTTGGCCAGATGGTACGTTAATTTTTATGTACAAAATTGTTATTCTTAAGGGACTTTGTACCAGAATAAAGTTGATTCTTCTATTCTATATACATATAAAAAAACATCTTTTGGGCACCCCTCTTCCCCCCACCCAAAAAAAAATTAAATCCTGGACCCGTTAGCGCCAAGTAGCGAATTGCAGTTAAAACCGATAGCTAATTACTTTCCAACGTTGTCAGTGGTTAGACACAGCTAGTTTCTTTATTTTTTAACTGATGACACTAAAAGTTATTTGGAATTTAGATAACTTATTTCTGTTCAAGGTATTTCTGAGTGAAAACTAAATTTTCACAAATTTTGTTAGTTAGAACCTTTTCAAACCAATTCCACAACATGTAAATAGGAGCCTATATAAACTATTATCCCCACATATATTATTACTGTAAGGCTCGAAATCGGTTTTGTACCAAATATAAGCTCCTGTCATGCTCAAATACCATGAATGGGGTATCGTTGAATTTCACGGAGGGTTAGCGAATCGTATTCTCCACTTTTGTTTTTCTTTCTAAAATAAATAAAGTCGATACAAACATTTTGCTAGGCTTCGATACTGGAACGGTGGTAGGTCTGTAGATCGATACGGGACAAATTGGACCTTGAAGATTTTGATGCGTAGAGCAAGGCCCGGATAGTTCCTCCAGAACTATGGGATCCTGCGTTTTTAAACCCAAAAACGTACTATTTTCGAGATAACGCAAGGCATAGGGTTCGCATCCATGCAATCTTACATTAATCATAGTACTGTCATTGAATACATGACTTGAGGTCTCTATGATCGAGACAGGAGGAGTTTATATTATTTATCGATGGTGTTTTTGATCGGCAAGCCATACCATCGATAATTCTTCACCAAATCTCAAGATTGGGCCACCGATTTTGAAAACTTTCTTCTCCTTCATGATTATATAAAATATTACTAAATCCCCTACAAAATGAAAAAAAAAAAAAAAAATCATCGAAATCGGACAATTTTTAGCAAAGATACAGCTTACTGAAATTTGTAAACATGTTGGTTCCAAACAAACATGAAGAATTTTTTTAATTTTATTTATTCATGATATTTACAACTGTATTAATAAATAAAATACATTAAGTAAATTTGATAACAGAAAATAATAACATGAAATGACTTGTTGAGAAACTACCCACTGGTAGCACTCTAAAAACAAAATATATTTACAATAAGAGATCTCGAGACCATCTTCTTTTCAGACGCCTCGGAGTGTTATCAGGAATAGAAGAGGAAGCAAGGTTAGAGACGAGAGGATTAGGATGGTTCTGAAGTTTATTATGGAAGGATAGGTATCTGGATTGGGCCAAATCGGAAACATAAGGAACATTAAGGTCATTATGGATTATTTTATTGTTGACAAAGTAAGGAGCATTGAGGATTTTCCGAAGGATTTTGGATTGTAAGGATTGGATACGAGAGGAATTCGATGGCTTAGTGGAGCCGTAGCTCAACTCCGTAAGTCCAAATAGGTCTTATTGTAGTCATGTATATAAGTCTTTTGTAATTAACTAGAAGCTTAGAGCATTTGCCTAGTAAGTGTTGGAGTAGTCGGAAACGTCGAGCGGTTTCTTGTCGTTTCAGTCTGGTATGAGGATTCCAAGTTAGACGTTTGTCCAAGTGAAGTTCAAGGTACCGGATTTGTTCAACAGGGATAAGTGGGGTATTATTAAAGGATATACTGTGGGACATGAGGTCATAGGTTTACGTCGAAGGGTAAAGGTGATTTGATGGGATTTATTAGAATTTATTTTAATCCTCCAGTTTTGACAACATTCTTCAAGGCTGTGATGAGTGATTAAAGAGTTTGGGATGCAATGGTTGGGTCATTATTAACGGATAGGATACATGTATCATCGGCATACGTGATAGTAACAGTGTTAGGATGGGTTGGGATGTCAGCTGCATAAACTGTGTAAAGGATAGGACCAAGGATTATTACCTTGAGGAACACCAGCGGACTGGGAAAAGAGGGATGAATAAGCATTGTTGTGATTGACTTTTGAGTATCTATCAGTTAGATAGGAACGGATAATGAGGAAGTATGTAGGATGTAGGAATTTACGGAGTTTGTAAAGTAGTCCCGGGTGGCAGACACGATCAAAAGCCAATGAAGATTTAAATTAATTTTTGTTTCCTTTGTCGATTATATTTATCGATAAAGTAATATTTGATTTCTTTATCTTTCGATACGTTGCATTATTTTATTTTCTTATTAATTTGGCATTTGATAACAATATGCTTTGCGAATTTTTCGCACGGACCTACTAGTATAAATTATTCATTCAATTTCTTTATTTATTGTTGATATTTTATTTATTTGTTTAACGACCATTTACCATTCCCAGATACCGAAAGCTAGAGCACGCCGCCCAGCGGGAGATCGAGGGAGATAGTCCCATCATGGGTATCCACATGGGACTCGTATGGCCAGGGAGCTTGATGACGGGTGAGAAGGTCTACGCATGGGGTACCCCGCCGTTGGGAAAACTACTCAATAGGATTCAGGAGTCCTGATGGATCTTTTAGCGGCTATATGTTGGAAATTGTTTTTATATATATATGTATATTTTATTTTTATAAATTTTAATAAAATGTTTTTATAAAGAAAAGAATATATGAATAAATTAATGTTTTATATTGTTTTTTTTTCTTTTATTTTATTTCTTGGTGCCAGATCAATATACGGTTATCAGTTTCAGAAGTCTTAGTGAGAAAAATTGAAAATAAAATTTTAACTTAAATATATACTGAATATTTAATAGTTGACCGTTGCATTATAAAGGAAGGAGATGGTCCGGGGTTGCGGTCATAAATAGTCTAAATAGTGGTAAAACTATTTTATTGAAAGCTGACGTTTCGAACCGACTTTGCAGGTCTTCATCAGGGCTAGAACGGACAAGATACAAAAAGATAGAAAATTGTGACATTTACATAATATTTTGACATAATTTATAAACTATGTGAATAAGCTTATTAAAATTATAAACAGTAAGTACAATAAAATATGAACAAAGTAAGCTGAGTAACAAGATCCTAAACTGAAGTAAATAGATGCTAACCATTGTTTCATAATAAATGAAAATGTGAATATACTTCTACAAAATCTACAGGAGAGATTTAAAGAAAAAGAAAAAGGATATAATATGAAATAATTGACATAAAGGAATGTGCAGAAAGTATGTAATGTAAATGAAGTTATTTCTATATTTATATTTTACTTTTGCCAATTTTGGGTTGATTCACATTGTACTCTGATCTAGAATTTCTCAACTCTATTTATATGTATATTTATATATTTATAATTTAATATTTCATAGATATAGTATTTTTCCATTGTATTCATCCATTTCTTCAAAAAAATTTTAGATACTGTAATTTCCTAGGTTTTTCCCAATTACTCAGTTAACACATGTTAGCTTCCCCTATACCTGCTATCCTTACCGCTGCCTATCCAGTTCTAAGTGAAACCTATAGAGGAACACACCTGAAAGTTTCTAATTTTATTCTTCCAATTTTACTTACTTATTTATCTAATTTTGGTTTCAGTTATTTCCTATTTTTCAGCGGAATCTGTTTGATTATTTACTGAATACAGTTGAAGTGTACACCAGAGCAGTTGTTATTTACAGTTTGCTACATTTTTTTTTTAATTTTTTTTTTCTCTAATGATATGCGACATTGTCAGCCAGTGATGTCCAGTAAGGTGCCCACTAAGAGGACTCGGTCAGACGGCGTTAGTACCCCTCGTGATTCACCAGTGAAACAAAAAACTCGTCGCTGCCTGCGAGAAATAGCTCCAATAACCACAGTGAAAACTTCAGATACAGAACCTCAACCTCAACCAGGTACCTCTTCGCAAGAAATGCTTGAAGAATCTCCTTTCTTCACTCCAAACCCGTTCCAAGTGCTTCATAATGACAGAGAAGTAATGGAGTCAGCAGCAGTACCCAGGGAACCAAGGCCTCCTCCGATATTTGTAAAAAATATCAAAAATTGTCAACTACTGTGTACACAACTAACCGAAATCTGCTCCGGCAGTTATTCTTGCCTCAACAGGACCAACGATACAAAATTAACACCAGATACCGCAGAAACCTACCGAAAAATTGTGAAGTACCTGTCAGAAACGAATGCAAATTTCCACACGTACCAGCTGAAACAGGAGAGATCGCTACGAGTGGTGGTAAGAAATTTACACTTCTCAACCCCAACGGAAGTGATAAAAGAAGAACTAGCGACGCTTGGTTTCAAAGTGCGTCAGGTAACCAACGTTCTGAAGAAGAATAAGGAGCAGCCAGGAGTGAGTAATAAAGTTCCACTACCTTTATTTTTCGTTGATCTAGAGCCATCACCTGGCATTGAAAAAATATATGATATCAAGAGATTGTACTACACTATCGTGAAGATGGAGAAGCCATACCCCAAGAAGGAAATTGTGCAGTGCCACAATTGCCAGGCGTATGGCCACACGAAAACTTATTGTCACCATCTGCCGCGTTGCGTGAAATGCGGTGAACAGCACAAATCTGTGGAGTGCACCAAACCAATACAAGATCCTGCAGTGTTTGCACTATGCCAGGAGGAACACCCGGCCAACTACAAAGGCTGCCAAACCTATAGGAGCCTCAAATCCAGATACCAGAAGAACCGGATTCAAGATGAGAAAACCAGACCAAGAAGAGAACCTTCTAGAATTGTTAACAATAATTTATCATACTCCGAACTACTTGGAGGTAAGAACCCCAATAATACATGTGAAGCCCTGCCGCAGTAACTACCTCAGCCCCAATCTCAATATTCTGTTCATCCTAACACACGTAATCATCAACAACCTCAAATTCCTCATATTCCTCCTTCAAATGCAACAGATCTCACTAATTTGTTAGCATCATTCCTCACCGATTTCAAATCCCTAGTTACTCCACTCATATCACTCCTTACAAATCTCGTATCTCACCTCATCCCTCCTTTAAAAAATCCTTAATGACCCACATCCCAAAACCCATGTCCATTCTCCTTTGTAATGCGAATGGTGTTAGAAATCACGTAGACGAACTAACAGCTTTACTACAAGACAAGAACATTGACGTAGCCCTAATTACAGAAACTCGACTGACCATAAAACAGCATTTAAAAATCCCACAGTATTTAACATACCGTACTGACCATCCTGACGGCAGAGCACATGCCGGTACTGCTGTCATCGTACACCAATCCCTCTCCCATCAATTACTCCCATTACCCACTCAAGATTTCCTACAGTCAACCGCAATCGTAATCAAAACCTTCTCCTTTCCAGTCACCCTTGCATCAGCATATTGCCCTCCTAACAGATCCATATCCAAAGCCCAATTCAGTTCTCTCCTCAACTCCTTAGGTCATCATTTCATCCTGGGTGCTTACTTAAATGCCAAGCATCAAGTTTGGGGTTCAAGAACCACGAATTCTCGTTACAGAACATTTCTGTCTGTACTCAATTCCCAACGTTTCAGTCTCCTTCCACCCAACTAACCTACCTACTGGCCCACAGATCCTAACCGTAATCCCAATATCCTTGCTTTTTTCATCCACAGTGGCTTAGGTCCCCTCAATCATTCCCTTACCCCTCTTGCCGAACTATCCTCAGATCATAGCCCATTATTACTCCAATTATCTCTAGCTCCTACTCCTAAGTCTTCTCCACCGTCCTTCATCACGGTCAAGAGACCCAGTTAACTGGAAACTCTTTCACCAAATCCTTTTCGATAAAATTGACCTCAGAATGACCCTGAAAACCCCAGATGACCTGGAAAGTACCGTACACTTTTTTACCACCACTATCCAACAAGCAATCTGGACTGCTTCCTCTCCAAACCACTCCTCAAGAACTCCTAAGAAAAATAAGTTACCTCAACACCTCATAGACCTAATCCATACCAAACGCCGTGCCAGATTATTATGGCAACGTACTAGACACCCCACCGATCGTCAATCCTATAATTATTTTTGCAAAAAACTAAAGATAGAATTGGCCACCTTCAGATCCCAATCCTTCAACTCCTACCTTACTTCCCTCTCTTCTCATGACAATTCCCTATGGAAGACCACCAAACATATCCTAAAACCCCATCATATATCACATCCTCTCCGTTGAGGTGATGGCTCTTGCAGCGTGGCAGCGTCTGACGAAGATAGAGCCGAAGAATTCGCCAAACACCTTTCCCTTACATTCACCTCTCATTCAGAATCCAATCCCACCCACACGTCAGCAGTAGAGGAATTCCTTAATTCACCCATCCCACTCTCCTTACCGCCTAAAGCAGTTTATCCTTCTGAGGTCAAATTCCTCCTAAAGCTGTCATATTCCTTACATACATATACAATAGCATCCTACGAACCACCCACTTTCCTCTTTTGTGGAAACATTCCACTATTATCCTGTTTCCGAAACCAGGCAAACCTCCCAACACCTCAACGTCCTACAGACCAATTAGCCTTCTTCCGATTCTCTCAAAAATCTTTGAAAAGATCCTCCTGAAACGCATCCTACCCATTATAGAATCCCAAAATCTTCCTTCCCATCAGTTCGGATTTCGTTCACAACACTCTACAGTTCAACAAGGACTCCGAGTGGTTGATCATATTTCCGCAGTATTGGAAAGCAAGCAATATTGCTCGGGTGCATTTCTGGACATAGCACAAGCTTTCGACCGGGTATGGCACGCCGGGCTTCTTTCCAAGGTGAAAAACTATCTTCCTCAGTCCTTGTACCTTGTTCTCCGTTCCTACCTCTCAGATCGTACCTTCCGAGTTCGTTGCGGTACTGAATTTTCGCATTGCTATCCAATTGAGGCAGGTGTTCCTCAAGGCAGCGTATTAGGTCCCGTCCTTTACATCCTCTTTACCGCCGATATCCCTGTCCATCCCGATACCTTCCTGGCAACGTTTGCTGATGACACCACCATTCTATCATCCGACTCAGATCCTGATATAGGATCCTCAAACCTTCAAAGACACCTCTCCCTGATTGAGCGCTGGTGTAATAAATGGCGTATTAAAGTAAACGAATCCAAATGCCAACACGTCACCTTCACGCTCCGACGCAGTTCCTGTCCACCAGTACACTTCAATTCCATCCAGCTTCCTTTCTCAGACACAGTCCGGTACCTTGGCTTTCTCTTACACAGACGACTAACGTGAAACCCTCATACTAGACTTAAAAGACAGGAACTAAACCGACGATACGGCCAACTATAACGGCTACTAAACAGAAAATCTAAACTTTCCATTGAAAACAAGTTACTGATCTACAAGACAATATTGAAACCTATCTGGACTTACGGACTTGAACTGTGGGGAACAGCAAAATTTTCTAACATCAAACGCATCCAATCCTTTCAATCCAAAGTCCTTCGAACAATAGTCGATGCTCCTTTCTATCTAACCAACAAAACCCTACACCATGACCTTAATATCCCATTTGTCCAAGACCTTATCCCATCAAAATTCTCCAAATTCCACCAGAACCTTACCCATCATCCAAATCCCTTTGCACAATCTCTATCCAGCACCACCCGTCCATATAATACTCCAAGGAGGTTAAAACGGCAGTGGCCCCGCGACCTTTTATAGTTTGTAAATATTGGAGTTCTGGCAATGGCCAG